ATATATATATATAAAATTCTAAAGAAAATATGTCTGTTACTATTTTTATTTGCTAACATACTTCTGGAAATACATTTCTACCTGCTTGTTACGAGTCTTTTTGTTGTTATATCAAAACCATGTTACCTATTATGCATTCAGATTCCACACGCACACATACATACACATGTACACACAGACAACTTTTTCTGTTATTTGGCAAAATATAAAAGTAGCCCACTGTTATGCTTCAGCAATTATAATCCCTTATCTGTAACATGTGTTTCTGTTGCTAGAATCTTGACCAAATATTTAAAATTCCTTATACATTAAGGAAAATAGTGTATAGTTTTTTTATTTAGTTTTTTTCCCCAGTTCTATTTTGTCTATAGGTGCCTCCAGGTAGATGGCTCCTATTTCTACCAGTTAAAAGATTCCATCTTTTGTTTCTTACCTGATTTTCTCTGGTGAGAAAAAAGATTGTTCAGTAAAAGCATCCTAAATATTTTCCTATTTGGATCCTTTGGAAACGGATGACATCACCAATAAACATAAGAGACCAGTTCCCTGAGCAGCAGCAATATGTTGGGGATTCCAGAATAAAAATAATGGATATATTATCCATTGTTCACAAGCTGATAATTGTGTAAACAAACTACAAATACACATTCAGAAGCAAGCAGTGCTACCCTTATTTAGCTTGGATCTAATGATCTCATTGGGGGGAGGAAATTCCCAAGACAGTTATTACAAGGGCCACAAGTAGGCCCCTTGTTCATTTTGCTGATAAAAGTAGCCCAACGCTGAATAAATCAAGTCACTGAAAATAAGTTACAAAATAAACTTTTTCAACAGTCAGTTGATCGGCGAACCAAGCAGTCCTAATCAGGGAGAGCAAGTCAACTGCATTAGTGCTACAGCCCTGTCCCTAAAACCCACTGAAAATATTTGCAATTGTGATGAACTGAAGTGCAGAGAAATGAAAGAAAGCAGCTACTGGGGAGAAGGCCATCAGAAATAATTTGAGGAAGAAAGCACTCAAATGTTTGCTTGGCTGCCGAGGGCCTGTTCTAAATGCCCTTTGCTGACTAATAGACATTATTTGTACATTTAAAACCTCATTATAGGATAATTTGCAGTCCAAGTAGGTGAAAGAAAAAACATACACCCCCTTTTTCTGGCCTTTATCACCTCCTTGAAAAGCAGTTTTCTTGCATCTAAACAGGCTTTGTACCATGTCAGGACCTGTCAGGTAATCCAATCATGTGAACAGGATGAGGCCAGCTTGTATTTCCTTAGTGCTTTGCACAGAGGAGTGAAAGCAAATGCTGGAAAGGATGGGAGTTGTTGGTTTCGTTGAGATCCCAGGATTTTACCCAGACATTGCTATGGGATCACCGTTCTTGATGCACATGACTCACTATACCACTTGCTCAATCTACATAATTTTGGCTTTTGGGATTTGCAGGGTATGTTGAAAATAATGCCATAAAGTCTGATATTTTCATGAGGAGTTTCTCATGCTTTTGTTGGTGAGAGTCAATAAAGTCATGAGTTTTAGTCCATAAAGCCTTTATGCACCCAGAGCAGGTAATATTTTAACACAAGGTAAAGTATTTTAACATCATCTTCTCTAGAAAAAGCTAGCCTTTAAGTCTCCTCTTCATTTCTACCATTCAGAGAAACTGGAAGAAAAATAGCACAATGACCTTATTAACTGAGAACGGTTCTTCCTTCTCTCATGCTCTTATAGAGACAAGATCCTGACTCCTATTTAACGAAAAAGATCATATATTAGTAAGAGAAAGTGGCAGTTTATGCTTCGTCTGTAACGATAAAGGAGTTAAGCTCAACTTCTGAGGTCCAAATGGACACATCCATAAATACTGGTTAAACATCTACAGCCACTAAAGAAAACCAGATGCAGCTTATTGCTAATTGCTTTTATATGTGCAATTATCTGCTAACTCTCTCTTATAAGGGAGTGGAACAAATGCTAAATTCCATAATCTTTGGTTTTCAGATTGTAAGGAAAGTCCAGTTCCATGAAGCAGCCTCCCACTCGTTTTGAGCAATGTGTTGGCAATGTTGAAGAACTGCCAGGGCAAAGGGTTGGGGAACAATTAAGCAAACTCCATGTGTTTATTGACTAACACATGGCAGAAATTCGAAATAAACAACATCTCCCAGCCAAGAAAATCACAATAAGATTATGCTTATGAAACCAATTAGGAACTTTCCATCCTGGGCAGCAAAAATAAAACACCCAACAACAACCTGTTGGTGAGAACAACCAGACTCATCCCAAGATCGGTGACTGAACTCTAGGAAGACAAGCATATGGAAACACCAGAATGGGATGGCAGTCCCTATACTTGTATCTTGAAGCAAAATGAGCTATTTTTTCTTTCCCAAGGGAGAATTTTCACATAGTTGGGACTGTTTTTCATTGCCAATGTTAAATAATAGCTGGAGGTACCACTTCAAGTCAAACCATTCACCGGAGGGTTTCGGAAGGTTAGGAGGAAGGAAAGAAGAAGCCGCACAATCACATGAACGTTTGAATCACAATAGAAAAGGAATGATTTCATGCCTCTTTGTTTTCTTCTGTAATCTATATATAGCCAAGTACGGCTACCTATGAAAAGCTGGAGGACATTTTGGCTCACCTATTTACAGGGAGCTGTCAAAGAAGCTCTTAATCTAAGCAAAGTTCAAAAGAGAGTCCCTTGTCCCCAGTCTAGAGGGTGAATGCAAGACAGCGAGGCTTTTTGAAAAACTTAATTAGCAGAATCTGTGTTAATCCTGCTGTAAAAGGTAGTCTGCCCTGAGGGTCTTAACAGTCTGGCATTTGACAAATAAGAGCATCAGAGAAGAGAGGGAAATCAAGGGCGGCTAAATGAGAGTATGTATGTATGTATGTATGTATGTATGTATGTATGTATTTATTGTATACATATTGAGGCTTACATTAGGGCAGAGGTTGGCAGAATGTCTGGACTGTGGACAGCATTTTTGGCAGGTCAAAACCTTCTGCAAGAAGGTGAGTTGATCTCCCCAGGATGTTCTTTGCCGTTGTTGTATGATCTTTGAGGGCCCAAAGAAATTGCAAATAAATACGGTTGGGGATTTTGCTTGTTGGAAGCTGGCTAGGAAGGTTGCAAATGGTGATTGCGTGACTCTGGGAAGCTGCAACTATCGTAAATACATGTTGGTGGCCAAGCACCCAAATTTTGATCACGTGGCCATGGGGATGCTGCAACGGTGATAAGTGCAAGGACTGGTTGTAAGTCCCTTTTTTCAGCACCATCATAACTTCAAACGGTCACTAAATGAATGGTCTAAGTTGAAGACTACCTGTATGCAGGTTCTGTTGCCTAGCCAAAAGGAGCTGAAGCATTTTTTAGAGGCAGAATGAGATAACATGCAGAAGTTACCAGAACAGTATAAGAAGTGGGAGGAGGTACAGTACAATCAGTCTTGCAAGATTCTCTTATTAGAGCCAATCTCAATAAAAGTAGTTTCAGGCCTCTTATGAAGTTGATTTCCTGGTCTGGTCTACCTGGTGGGGATGACACTCTTAACAGATCAGACTATGGAAGATATATCAGACTATAAGAAGGCATTTGGTGGGTCTGAAAGTTTGGGTTCTGATGCATTCTGACTCACAGACTTACAATAATGAGTAGGAAGGCACAGAGATTGATTTGGAAAAGCTCTCCAGAAAGTCTGCTGGCTGTAGTGCTGTGGGTATAGGAGTGAGGCCAAAATTCTCCCCTCAAACCCTGGAAAATTGAGGGCTGCATGAAATGATCCAAGCAAAAAATTGTGGCAAGGAAATGCAACATCCTTTTTAAGTTGAGATTCATGGACATCTCCATGGTGGTTTCTTGGAACAATATGCAAAATATTTTGCCGTTGCTTTCTTCTGAATGTTTTGGGGACTTCTAGCTCTGAGATGTCCTGGTATCTCCCATCCAAGTAATAATCAGATCTGACTTTTTTTCCCCTTATTTAACCAAGCTCAGCTAGTAACTGACAGCCTATTTCTCACCATAGTTTCTCAAGCAATGCAGAAAGGACCATTTACATTTCTGGGGCTGTTTGTCCAGAAAAGGTTTTTTTTCTTCCAAGTTCTGCAATGGCAGGGTGAGGCCTTGACGGGAAGCCCCTCCTTAAGCCCCAAATACAGTCATGGATACAGCCTGCCTCCTAGTGACCATACAGGATACATTGACTGTGTTCATCTGGAAGAAGACTTGCAGCGAGCAAGTCACAGTTTTCCAGATTAAGCCATCACTCCAACCAACCGTTTTTATGTCTTCCAGAGCCTGCACAGCACACCCTTCTGTGTAGTGGTGGTACACAACATTTTCCCTCAGAATGGAATTCAGCTTCCCAAACAATCAGAGCCAAAAATTATACACTGCGGTGAAGAGGCCCAAAAGGGGCTGCCGATTTATTGCAAAAAAGCCAAGATAGGAATCCACATGGCTGAGTGTTTGGAAGTGATTTAACTGTAATAAACATGATTGCAATAATACCTTATTTGCATGCAATATTTTTATTTTAGGAGCTAATGCGGCCTCCTTCAGTCCCAGTATAAAGGGGATGCTCTTCCCAGTTGCTGCTACTATGTTCCTAGATGTGTTTTCAACTTCCTTCAGCCCTGGTGGTCTCCCATCCAACTCTGACCCTGGTTGGCTTTTTAGAAGAGCTGCTGAGAGCAGCT